ACATTTATTATCTACACTTATTAAAGGTAATGTCTTTAGATCAATGCTTTTCCCACCATTAAATAATCATTTTATCACTGAGCTTTACTCTAAACAAGGTTGTCATGTTGGATTCCTCAGATGGATGGATGTAATTTGCACATTTATTGCTTTGCAGGTTGTTTATTAAAATTGATTAAAGTGACACTAAACTCATGAGTTAATGCATTCAAATACCTTAACTATTAACAAAAATGTATCTTATATGTGTATCACTCAGCTGTAGACCCTCAAATCATCTCTGAATTGGTGCTGGCACTGTCCTTCCTTCTGGAGGGTGGTTACTTTTGTTCCCCATGTTCCCTGTGTGTGCCGTAAAGTAGTCACCGCTTCAAACTTGCTTATGTGATGGACTACAATCTCAATACAAAATAGTAAACTAAATGTGAGATTGTAGTCCATCACAGAAGCGAGCTTCGAGTGGTGACTACTTTATAACACACACAGGGCCCATGGGGAACAAAAGTAGCCACCCTTCAGAAGGAAGGACAGTGTCAGCATTATTCAGAGATGATTTGAGGATCTACAAAGATACATTTTTGTTAATAGTTAATGTATTTGAATGCATTATTAAGATTTAACTCCTCAGTTTAGTGTCACTTTAAGTTCAAGCTTTTGTTCCACTGTTTATTTTAAGTGTATTACTTCTAGCTAGTCCTCTCAATACATCTGTTTCAAGTTTGCTTTCTTCAGGAAATTAAAGATTTACATCAATCATTTATTTACTTTTTACCGGTATATAATAGGTTTATTGTTTTTACATGTTTGATATGCTGTATGGATTTATGTATAATATTATGTATATTTTGTATCAGCTGACATTTTTTGTGAACATTTCAATAATGAAAGCTAATGTTTCAGCTGTTCTCATTGTACAAACTTAGTTTGACTTTAATTTAAAGCCCAATTGAAGTCAGAAAAATAGATATGCAATCAGATATTGCACTTTTCATAGTTTTACTTCCACTTTCCTGTTACACCATTTGTGCAGGGTGTCTAAATATGACCGTGCAGCCAAATAGGCACCAGTGTTAGAACCAGTGCTCTCAGTAATGAGCACTCAGTAAGATGCCTGGTCTGACACGCCCCCGCTATTCCTCTGCAGTACTGGACTGCGAAAGGACACTTGTGTTTTGCCGGCATAGAGCACTGGGGTGGGAGGACAGAAAGCAGCAGCTTCACTTAGAAAGAAATGTATTTTAAAGCATTTCCAAGCAAACATCAGTCACAAATCATAACACACAGGGCTACAGGGCTTTAAAGAAATACAAATGTGGCTTCAATTGGGCTTTAATATGATATGATGATATTGTGTATTTAGGGTTAAAACTCTGTGATTGGCAGTTACTAATGTACAATGTGCCTGTACATTGCTTGAATATATTGGGCTGTTTCGAAAATTACTAGACGTACTTATATTCTGATGTTTGTTAGTACATATTTGCTGGCTTGCATTCTGCAATGGTAATGTTTATGCTACCAAAACTGATACATATTTTTTGAAAGCTTTGCATCCCCCTCTTAATTAAATGGGCTTTTTTTCTCCACACTAGCCAAAGTACAAGTGCACTTGATTTTTACATAATTTGTATCTTTCAATTGTATGGGTTTTGTTTAATAATACTCTAGGTTTCAATGCCAGGAGCATGAAGCTGGTTGAATTTGGCACAAAGCCCTACTCTAACTCTCTCAAAAACTCTGTCTGTAAGGTTACCACTAACCCTACCGCTAACCCTCACTGTAACCCTACCACTAACCCTCCCTGTAACCCTACAACTATCCTTTACATTATCCCTGTAATGCTACCTCTAACCTTCACAATAACTCCTCCTGTAAACCTACAACTTACCTCGCCTCTGTACAACCCCACCACTAGCACTCGCTGTAACCCTACCACTAATGCTCCCTGTAACGCTGCTACTACCACTAACCCTCTCTGTAATACAACCAATAATCCTAACACTAACCATGTCTGTAACACTATCAATAATTCTAACACTAACCCTCTCTGTAACACTACCACTAACCCTAACAATAACCCTCTCTGTAACACTAGCCCTAACACTAATCCTCTCTGTTACACCACCACTAACACTCTCTGTAACACCAGCACTAACCCTAACATTCCCGATAACCCTAACACTAACAACCTCTGTATCCCTACCACTAACTCCAAATTGCATTTGGGGTCCTGTTGCAGATGACAATTCAACAGTGATGAGATTACTGTGGAAGGCAGGAAAATACCTCTTTGTACAATGTTTCCACCTCACTGTTGGATGAGTGAGGCATATCTGATTCTGTCAGTGAGAAATATATGCCTCACTCATCCAGCCAGTGAGGAATTGATGCTGTATGAACAGTTGAGTATTTGTCTCTTTTGCCCTCTTTTGCAATTGTGGTGAGTGGCTGCAAGCAACAGGATTGCAGGTGTGAAATGAGCCTAACCCTACCTGAAGTAAATGTAATGCCTTGTATGCATACTCTCCTTTACTATATCAGAATCCTCTGCACTAAAGACTAAGCCTTTTGTGCCAAAAGATACCAGTGATGAGATCTCAATGTTGAAATCACACAATGAGAGAAACGTTAACTATATGCTGCTAGATGAGGGATAGGGCTTAGACCCCATACACATTGAGCTACAAGCTTTTTCAGTGCTAATTTGAGCCGATCAACTTTGAGCTACATTGAGCTACGTAGCGCTTCTTTTGGCAGTCTATAAAAGTCTATTGGGGCCAAATGGCTCGAAATTCCCAGAAAAATAGCTCATGTTCGAGCAAAAAACTTCAGCTACAAGCTACAGGCAACATTGAGCTGCAAGATGTGAGCATCTCTATTGATATGCATTGGAAGAGCTACACTGAGCTACATTGAACTTCATATTTGAGCGGAAATCGTGCTACAAATCGCTCAGTGTGAATGGGGTCTAAGGAAACTTTTACTTTTCACTGGCTAGGAAAAAGTCACTTTAAGAATGCTGTCTTGCAGAATTCAGGAAATGACAATGGAAGTGGTAGTTGTTCAACATTCATATGTTAACATCTTTGTATCTGAGCATTTTGGTGGACAGCAGGAGCTACGAGACTATCGGCTCATGGTAAAAAAGAATAATTTTGCCTTTTCTCTAAAAATAGTAAAAATGAAAGGTAGAGTGTGCATTTATTTTTGTATACACATATCAAACTGATTATCAATGTAAGTAATAAATGATAAAGTAATTATGAAGATAACAAAACTACTTCCATTAAAGGTCATTTGCTCTGGAATTTCAAGTATTATAGGTGTAGAGAGAGTCTTTTCAAAAATTGTCTCAACATATGCCTCCATCTCCTATTACTCCCATCAGATATATAACCTGCTATTGTATATTCACCCTTCAGAGAGCTCCTTCTTTTGTTTGATACCTGGCATCGAACCCGCAGCCGGAATGGAGGAGCTAGGCTCTGTCAGGGATCTCCTCGCTATCACCCAGTCTCCCCTGCTCTGAAATCTGCAGCACATCCTTTCTGTGCAGGGGAAAGGTATGGGTGTCCTGCAAGTGTTAGAAGTGCCCAGTGTTTGTCCAAGTGTTTCATGGCAGAGAGGCCTGCAAAACAGCACAGCAATGCATATAGGGGCATAAGGAATAATCAGTGTGTTTATGATTTTCTTACATAAAGGTTGTTCTGAACTTGTAGCAATTTGTTCCAATTATTTGCTGTTATCTTATCCATCAGTAATTTCCTTTCTGAACTATTGCAGCCGCATTGTGTAATCTCTGTGTGTGTAAACAAAGTTCTCTAACTATTAATGAGCTCATCAGTAATTACGCATTATTTGATTCCCCTTACTCGCATAGTTACTATAAGCTTCATTCACACACAAGTAGTCTTCCTTACCATGTAGATCTATACTGAAAGAAACAGTAAACAGTGTTTTTTCTGCTTCAGTTTTTGAACTTGTACATTCCTAAATGTTTGCATGAGTTAACATAAGTTACTCACATTAGTTTTTATTTGTTTACAGTAAGCATTTGCAGCAAAATAAACTAACCAAATAATGCACAACATTAAATGCACATGGAAGAATTAAGTTATAAACCATGTAAACTGGTACCATTTAAAAAAAAAAAAAATGTATATAGTATACTGCATATTAGGTACATGCTTACCATTAGGCACTTATTGGCCAGTGCCCAGAGCAGCAGGTTTAGAGAGGGCAGCATCAAACCTAAACATGTTCATATTACATAAGCGGTAGAGCTTGCACAACAAAGTGAGGAGTTGCTGGGGTAATATAGAAATCCTGAGAGGAAAGCAGTAGCAGGAGTATACAGGGGTAACTAAAGTGAACAAGGTTAGTTGGATCATCCTTGCACCAAGGTATTTTGTATTTTAAAAAAACACTGGAGCATTGTGCTTAAAGCAGAAAATAACTGCCATTTGTAGGGGGAGTTCTTTCCATAATGCCATGCTGACAGTTTTGTTCAATACCTCCCCAATCCACGTCTTCCGGCCCTGCATCTTCCCATTTTTGCCACTGATGATGTAGCTCCTGTGCATGTGTAGTTGAGTTACATCATCCAGGCATTCGGCTCCATTTTACAGATCCCAGAAATGGGTCAGAATTATATATTGACAAAAATGCAGCATATCTCATAAAAGCATTTGTGTGATATGCTGCATTTACATCAATAAAAGACGCACTATTCACTATTTGGAGTGCCGGTGCCCAATCTTTACTATGGTGCACTGCACTGCAGGCAGTGTACTCACAATTAAAATTGCTGACAGGAAGAGAAAATAGTTTTTTGCGAGAAGAGACCCACAAAGCTTCTAGCAGCTGTTTTTTTTATTATTGTGTTTAGCTCTGCTTTAAATAATATAACATTTATTTTCTTCATTAATATGACATGGCAGGACAGTTACTATTTTATTCCTATATTTTGTAACTCACTTCCGTGAGTCTTAGACCAGTATGTGATAGTCAAAAGTGAGATTTCTAAAAACATTAAGCACAGAAAGCAATGACTTCCCTTGAAAGATCTCTTGTTTACACAGAACAGAATGTTAGAGCTCTCTGTAGTGCGGTACATCATATGAATGTTTAGCCTGTGAAGTGCATTGCATTCATCTGAACACAGGATTGCTGGCCCCCCTGACTATGAAGTGTCTTATGTTTTCTTTGTTTTGTAATTGTCAGTGCATTGTTTGTGACTGTCACCTACTCTTTTTCTTTCTTGTTACTAAATTTACTTTACAATCCAGGCTTTCTCTCATTAGACCTAATTTCAGGTTTTTTTTTTTGTCTAGTATAGTTAAGTCTTTATGCTATCATGCCAGAGACAGTCTGGTGGACTACAAGGGGGTACACATCTCTTCTAGGGTGTTGTTCCATGACAGTTGTCTGGCTTGTTTGGGCAGGCTTTCATTCTAGCTCCGTGCTGTATAGTGAGATTATACATTTAGGAATGCACTAATGAATGCCTTTTTAATGAAAGTTTAAATCCATTCAGGACAATGGATGCAGTATGTATTCTTTTACCAATAGTTCAACTGATTGATAGTCAAAATGTCCATAAGAATGTAAATCGCAAGAAAACCTCGCTGTATAATATAATAACAATATATCAAATTCAAATTTTATATAACATTCACATTTCCCGCAAATGCCTTCCTTTAGCAGACTGGACTCTGTGTAATAGTAATCACTGACCTCTTTACAGTAATAAGCGGAGTGTCTTTCGTCTGTACGCTGGTTGGAAGCCCAGGTATTTATCCATCGGAATGAGATGATGTGCATGTGCGTGTCTTAATTGGCCACACAAAGACCAGCCTAAAGTAAAAACTCTATTTACAAGAGGAAATTCTAAGAATTGTGCTTTCCCTCTGAACAGCTGGCTAAAATTTCCAGAGGGTTTCTATGTATTAGGATACAAGGAAAGAGATTGCAAACAATAGCTTCAAAAACAGTAACCATAAATTCTGGTCTTATATTAGATCTGTATTAAAGCTGTCACTTTCATTTATTTATCTAGAGCTGTCCATCATCCATTGTATCCTAATACATAGACATCTTTCATGGTATTCATGCTGTAATGTATTGTTTTACTATTAGTCCCCAAACACTTTCAGTTTTTAATTTAATCCATCAAGTACCAGCACAACCAGTGATTATGTATCATAAAAAGTAAATTTTACATATTTCAATTTTGCTGGCACACATAGGGTTAAATTAGTGGCAATATTTCTTAAACCCTTTCATTGCTATGAGGGTCTCCAGCTATGGTGGCACTCATGGCTGACAAGGACTTAAGAGTGTCCTTAAGATGTGTTTGCATGCAGATGGTTTCCGGGGATCGCAGTAGAGGAATGAGGTGTGAAGCATCGCAGTAGAGGAATGAGGATTGTAGAATCGCCTGCCTTGGCAGCATGCTGTACTGAAGTATGTTATAACACACTACAAGAGGCTATCTCCAGGTGAAGCAAGTGCCATACTTAAGGTGCTTTACAAATAGATCAATCTGTCTTGTGGTCTTGGGATTTTGTTTTAAATGGAATGTGAAAGGTCATGTTTTGGAAGAAAGACTGTTCGTTGCCTTGATAACCTATTTAAATAAGATTTTTTACAGAGAATGGCTTGTTAGATAACTCCAGACATGAGCACTCAACATGGTGAAAGAGTTGTTTTTCAAGATGAAAGTCTTTTTGGAATCATTTTCAAGGTCCTTTTTGAAATCCATAATGTATAAATATTCTAACATTAGTTATCTATGTTTTTACACTGCTATTCAAAGTAAGGGCACCATTAAATCTAAAAGCTTTAGTATAGTTTGGTAGATCTTATGATCTAATCTTGGACCTCAACAACACCATATTTTCACCATAATGAGAACCCGGTCTGGTTTGTTGTCATTTGGTTCAGAAAATGCATGGATTTCTGAAAGATCTCAATAATACATTTTGAAGGGGTAAACTTTTTTGGCAAGTCCTGTAGGTATTATTAAATATGTCTTTTAGTAGAAGCCGTGATTTCTAGCTGTGTCTTTTTAAAGGATTTCTTTTTAGGTTTTTTTTGTGTATTTTATTGAGAAAAAAATGTGGTACACAGGTACATGTTATACAGATGCAGGACATACAAAGGAAAGTATTCCTTTTAGAGGTAGCATAAAGAATAGACAGTTATACTTTAAAGAAATGAGAATGCCTTTGTTCTCTGTCACTGTCCTGTCCTTTTATTTCATTCCTTTTCACTACCCAAGACGTTTCAAACTCCCCTCTCCTATGCCCCAGTTATCTGCTTTCAAGCCATCTTTATAAAATCTAAAAACTTTCTGTATTCTGTGTTCGCAACTCCCTAGCATTAAGGTTGGACTGAAAGATCGAATGCGGGGTACTGCTGCTCTAAAGCAGAGCACACGCAGCAAACAGTATTTGGCTCCTCCAGAAAGAACTTCTCCTGGACTAGACCTCCCTGCAGAATCACCTAGCCCTACCAAGGTGCAGAAGAGTTGGAGCTTTAATGACCGTACACGGTTTCGGGCTTCTTTAAGGCTTAAAGCAAAACCACAGGCAGATGGTGAGTACATAGATATGCTGAGATATAGTGATATATTTACTATAAAGACGATTGGGCTAAAAATAAATGGAAATTCCTAGAGGAATGTTCTGATTAATAACACAATGGATGGGATTTAATCAAGTATTTTAAAGGCTTTCAGCGATTCTGGAGGCTTGTCGGAGACTTCATCCCCAAGATTATGGGAGATTCTCTGGTCTTTGCCCCAGAGGCCTGTTTGCTTCCCCATACTACTGAAGCCCCACATAAATATAAAAAAAACATTTTGAAAGTTTCACTTGTTAAAGGAGAACTATGGGGTTAGGGCTTTTCCCCATAGTTCTCCTAAGGGTAACGGACGGACACAAACTAGCGTCCTCCCGTCACCCCAAGCTCAATATACCGCGAGCTGCAGCTTTAAATGCAGCAAAGCAACTTTTTCCTTTACACTGGAAGCCCTCCTCTTCTCCCTCTCTCAAAAAATGGTTTGTTAAAGTCAACAAAATTGCAGAGATGAAAAAATTGATTCACATCTCCCTTGATAGAGATTCCCAATATACGTTTACCTGGGCTTGCTGGATCCACTTCGAAACTACCCCGACTTATGATAAAAATATGAATGGTTCTGCTTTTGAGCAAATTTAGACTTCATATACTTTAACTGATACTTGAACAATGTGATATGCTAATCTGATTTAGCCCTTAGTCTTCCCTCTCCCCTTCACCAGTA